GAATGTTTCTGCCTAGATTGAGTCCCTTTTTTCGCTGATGAAATTCACAAATTATACTAAACCTCATTACGGATGCTAGAACCCAGTGAGTTTTTGGACTACCGCTCTCTTTTTGTGTCATAGTATCTTGATTTATTTTTCGAGGAAAGCTCCGTACTCTTATGGAATGCCTGTCATTCTTAATATGTTGGACAGCCTTCAATTTCGTATACTGTGCACCACCTCTGTTGCGAAATAGTTGCTTGAAGCGCCGCGTCGCGGCGCGGCGGCCGATGGCGACCAGCGCATTAGCTCCTACAAACCTAACAAGGATACTTCACGCATTGCGCAATGCGTGAAGTATCCCGTTAGGTTTGTAGGCGCCGGTGCGCGGCCTGGCAGCATGCCGCGCTTCCGCTCCGCTCGGCGTCTGGCTCTAATATTTAAACTGGCGGAATCAGCGTTTTTCAACTCAGGATTTTGAAAAATGGGATAAATTACAGCACTTGTACCAAGTCACTGTTTCTTATTTAACGCGTGGACGTAAACTAACGGACTAAACAGGCTCACGGACAAAATATCGTTGACGGAATGTCCTGAAACCCCATCCTTTGATAAAACACGAATTTATTAGGAAAGTTGTAATTATTTTTCTCCTCATTTCTCAGAAAATTTAGTTCACAATTGAATCTAAAATACCTGAAAATTTCAAGAAAAAATATGCATAACTTCTTTAAAAAATGTATGTTTTATCTGGGGTTTCTGACAACTCTTGAATGTCCATTTAGCGTTCTTCCTTAGCACGGCAGTATGCAGGTAGAGCTCTGTCATGTCCATGCACCGAAAAAAGTTGATCATTTTAACTGTATTCATGGCTGATTTTGGCGTTAGCCGAAGTGCATTTGCACCAGCCAGCGGGCTGATTGTTGAAATTGATAGACAAAGCTATAGACAAAAAAGATAAGAGGGATACGAAGGGATCCTATTGGTGGAAGCGGGCGGTTGCAATCGACAAAAGAGATAGGTACGTAATAGACTAACTAACGCGCAACCCACGAGAGGCCCTGTTGTTAGTCCATCATTTACCCCCTTAGTCTATAAGAACCACCCAATTCAACCGATAAGGTCGCTCTATACCCCTAATGCCTTCTATGTCTACAGCTTTGTCTATAAATTTCAATAGTCGGCTTGCTGGTGTCCTTAAGAATGAGGTGTGATTGGTTTAGTTCGCATTCATGAATTTACAGGGTGTGAATTTTCATTAGAATTTAGAAATTTAAGCACGGCAAATTAAATGTTTAAGCGACTTTGTCTCAAAGTTACGTTTTTAGATTTGTTGTCTCCTGCATAAAGAAATTAATCCATTTCGATCGTGCCGTATCGGTATTTCTAACTTTTCTCATGGGAAAACCATCCGATGAATTTGTCTGAAATCCCCGGTGATTTGTTCTTACTATTGTAAGCAAAAATTCTACAATGTTCAGACGAATTCGTGCGACAGCTCTCCGATGAAAAAACAAAATTTTCATAGAAATGCTGAAACAGCGCTGTCAACATACGCTTCCCGCGTGCGGAAGACAACGAATTGTAACGGAGCCATTTTCAATCTCAACCGTTTTCCATTTGTCGAGAGATCGTGTCGATCGAGGAACCCTCCATTCCCCCTCACTGCGCGTCATACACAGACGAGCCATTATTGTTTAGCGTCGTATCAAAGGTGCGAGCGATAATGTTATGGACCTGACTGTCAACAATAATTGCAACCGCCAAACTGCACTTAAGCCACTCGCGCGACCCATTACGCTAAAATCAATCGAAGTCCGAAGGAATCGTCAGGTTGAAGACTATAACACGACCCTAACCCACAGCGTCATTTCCCTGGCCAGTGTCGCCAATTCCTCGATGCATTAAAGAAAATTCCTCCATTACTGGAGTAAATTTGAACTATGGGAACTCCATGCAAAGTTCGGCAACAGTGTCTGGACAAAGAGTAAGGGCTGTTAAACATCAAGTGTTGGTGTGGAGTGAGGTCATAATCAAGGGGAGAGGCCATCATTCGATATCTCGAGGTTCGATATTTTGCCTGTGATTGAATGGGAGATTCTAAAAGATATGTGGAGAGGGTAATGATAATATATCCACGTATATTTTTGGCGATGTTTTACCCTAAGAATCAGCTGAATAGATCTCTATGCACATTTTAGCGAGAGGTCTTGTATAGATAAATACCCATACTATTCCATCAAGTCTGCATATTTTGTAAAATCAAAATTAATTGGATGATTTCATTTCATCCAAAGAATTCAAACATTCTTTATTTTCAATCCAAAAGTTTTTTTTTGTGTCGATGACATCTTCATTGGTAATAACGCGAGTTGAACAAAATAGAGCTTTAAAAGAAAGACAAAAATTTCTGTTCACCAAAATTCATTAAGCTGTAAACTAATGTTGCGGGGATTTCTCATCTTCTAGCCGTGATTCTGAAGAAAATGTTCCGAATTGTTCTCTATCCGACCTCTTCCTTCTAAGCGTCTGTAGTTCATCATCAGAGGCAACAAGCACCAAGTATCTCCCAATGTTCCCCGGCTACAATCCTCCTACCGGGCAAATTTGAAGAAAATCGAGCATTTTTTGAAAGCGGAAAATGGGAGCGAGTCGGAATCTTTTGGGTATTAGAGTCCCCAAATAAATTGGCAGCCCTGTCAATGTATTTGCTCCCTATCTTTGCATAGAGAGTTTGTCTTGATGTAAAGGTAGACTCTCAGGATAGCGTGGGATATTCCCTCCATTTTGGCCTCAACTTGAAAGCTTTTTTTGAGCTTGGGAGTTAATTTCAGAGAAAACCAGTGGCACCACCATGTCTCTCGTGAACTTTTACCTATGAATCAACAGTCAAATCGCAAATTTTTCACACATGCAACATCTCCATTATCGCTATCTTCGATAATTCACTCGTAGTTTCATAGAGGAGTATGTGGAAAATAGCGGGGGAACTTTAATTGTCCTCAAATTGTCGTGGCTATCCCGCCGAGCATTCTGTCGTGATGCGGTCGTTAAGAAAACATACCCTCGTTAGTCGAGAGCTGCACTATCGTATTACGGAAAAACATCGGATTTACGGAGCACTGTCTTTTCAGTTACGTGGTTCTTTCATAAGTTCGTAAGGTGGTAAAGCTCTACCATTTTACGATGGCAAGTCATTGGCTTATAAATTTTAACAGCTTAGACGATTTTCAGTAGAGTTACCTATTTGGGGAGAGTATTGCTATCGGTAATTCTTCTTTTTAGTGCAGCGAAACTGAACCGCTCATTGTTTGATAGTGACAATGTAAATAACAAAGATTGGGATCGAGTTTAAAGACGCTGTATGATGGATTTAAATTTTCAGTCTCTTGAAAACGTTTTACATGAACTTTGTCGGATATTTTAACTGATAAATGAACGCTTCTCGTGGTAACCATTTGGACGTATCCTGAAAGGGACTATGTTGCTTTTAAACCTTATGCACGTGGTTCTTTTTATGATAATTAAATAAGTCCATTTTATTTGAATTGCAATCAGGAACGAGTCAGATCACACCTTTGAGAAAATTAGCGAGGATTAGTTTTAAACTTGAGTAGCCATATATTGTCTCCTGTCAAATATCCGAAATATTTTGATCGTGAAAATATACCCCGAATTATGTATTTAAGATGTGATCATAGAAAGAAATTCGGATAAGATTACTAAGAAAACTTTCTTGAAAATCCGGTGAAGAATGTTTATAAATTTCCCCGGAAAACCCGTGATTCGTCGAAGGGAATTTGGCAACTCTCGAATGTACTTACGGCGTTCTTCCCCAGAACGGCAGTAGTGTCGCTGGCACGGCAGTCCGAACTCCGCCGTCCGCAATCCATAATTCNGGGGGGGGGGGGGGGGGGTCGCTAATGGAATTAACACTCGTCATACTGCGGCGCTGGGCGGTCGCCAGCCCGACCATTAGTCCCCGGCCCCTTCCGATCGCCGGATAGACAAAACGCGCCTCTCTATCCATCATCCCGCCGCCGCCGCCCAGGAATTCGTTGGATGCTGGAATTCCGGCCGGGTGTCGGTGAC